AAGATTACTTGTTTTTAGATTCTCAAACTTTTTATTCTATCTTCATCTGTTTCCTGAGAACCGATAATTTCCAAAATTTGAAATCAAGATAGATACATTGGAAAACAAGCGACTGTGGCAGTTTAGAATGGGCTGATGTTTTTCTTCATTTACCAACATTCCAAGTGGTAAGCTTCAGTTTGACAGCCTTCTAATGTTGCCGACAATAATTTGAAAAGAAATAAACAAGAAGTTCAATGGCATTATTTATTCATAAGTTTTTTTTTAGTGCAATACTAGAACAGACCCATACAATATTCTTGGTTCATAACTTGTTCTTGGTTGGTCTTGAATTAGATGAAGAACTTGTAGAAAAGCTATAAAAATGGTCAATGTGAGGCCTTACCCACCACTTAAGCTCCCTTCGATTTTCATAATTATGGATTGGCCTAACTATTACTTCTACATATTAGCTTCTACTAATCTTATGTTAATTATTTTTTTTAATTTATATATTAAATATATTTATTCATTATAAAAGCAAATAGAGTGAAATTGATAAGTTGTTGAATGGGAATATGCTATAAATTATAGTATTAAATTTTACATTTCTTTTAGGACAAAATTGTGAGACAAAATTACAATATATAATAATAATAATAATAATAATAATAATAATAAATAAGGTTGTATTTAATGTACTTTTGGAATCCACAAGGAGAATGAATAATTATAATATCAATTTGGATGAGCAAAAATGTCCATTAGGCCGTGTTTGGAAATGATGCAAATAAGCGTGAATGCAAATATGTAAAGTGTAAAACGGTCTATATAGATTGTAAAATTGAGTTAGTTTTGCATTAACAAATTTACCTTTTTACTAAACAGACTTTTAGCTGTAATGGATACAAACACAAATTCCAATAAAACATATGCTATTTTTATCAAAGGGTTTCTAGCAGATAAGGGCAACTTTTTGCCCTGAATATCAATAAAAAGTAACATTTTTTATAAAATAATTAAAATAGGGTAACTTTTTTAGAAAAATATCAAAAAAGGGCATTAATACTGTTCATCGTCTTCCTCTATTGCTCTCTCAAGAGGAAGACGATGGAATGATATTTTGGCCCTGAATAAGGGTTGTGGCTTTGTGTTCGTCATCTTCCTTTTCTTTTTTCACCCAAGAAAATATTTTACAGCAATCCCAAATCGTTTGAGAGAAGTGGGTTGTTGATCTTGTATTCGTTTGAGGGCTTTGTAATAATATTGAAATGCTGCAATTTTTCCTGTACTTTCACTGCGATCTTTAATTTATGCAAACATATATATGCCGAGATTTTGAGACAAGTGTAGTCTGTGAAGAGTAGTGTAGATAGAGATACATCAGATCAAAATTAAAGTATTAAACATGGAGTCTTCTGTAGATTGTCGTGATGACTCAAATCCCGTGGCTAACTTTGCTAAGGATAATGAGTCTTGTGCTCTCTGTCCAGACACAAATAATACAATCCAAAACTCTGTGGAGCCTCTACCATTCTCAGCTGCTTGCTTCGGCCGGCCACACCAGCGGTAGATGAAAATCATGAGACGACCGGTAATGAAGACGGGAATGGCATCACCGTAGCGTTACACTTACACATTGGGCTGCCTAATAGTTCGAGTTGCTCCACGTACACGAAACCAAACGATATGGTGGGAGACAGAAATATTGATGTAGGTGTGGGTACCCAATATTGGATACTGACTTCCGCGTAGAAAACCTTCAACCGCTACAACAACCTTCGACCATTGCCTTATTCAGGGCAAAAATATCATTCCATCATCTTTCTCTTGAGAGAGCAGCAAAGGAAGACGATGAACAGTTTTAATGCCCTTTTTTGATATTTTTGTAAAAAAGTTACCATATTTTATAAAAATATAACTTTTTATTGATATTTAGGGCAAATAGTTGCCCTTATTTGCTAGAAGCCCTTTATCAAAAGCCCACTTGAATGCAAATTTGCTTCTTTTTTATTGATGTAATTTTACATCTTATATCAATATAAATAAGCATTGAAAAATGTATTTTCTATCATTTTTCAATACATAAATATAATGTTGTCAAATACAAGCAAAAATAAGCCAGAATACAAATTTACCCTGAACAAGAATTTATACTCCGTTTGCATCATTTCCAAACACAGCCTTAGGAGGCAATTAATTACTTCTTGCTACTTTAAATGATAATGCAAACATTAATTTATATAACATAATGAATACTACTTCTTACTATGTTCAGACCTTGCTGGCAACCAACATGCCCAAACCAAGTTGGCTTAATTAATCTAAGCATAGAAAAGGACCACAAAGGTCAAACTGAGTTTGCCCTCCAGATGGGTCAACCCGCAATCCATCGGAAGCCTTAGATAAATCTAAAACTTTAAATTTTGAATAAATTAATAACAATCATTAAAACCGGCTACAACAACATAATTTACTTTTGTATTTTATTTGCTTTTAATTTAGGCAGAAGTCAAGAAAAATGAAAACTGTAACTTAAAAACAATGTTTTCAAAACCCATTTCAATAGAGTTCTTGCATATTCACAATCATACAATAAACCTTCACAAATTCCTTAGGCTCAGTTTGGAAGAGTGCAAATGTAAATATAAGTGCAAAACCTTGTATTTTGTACTATTTTAATATGTATTTGTACTGTATATATTTATATTCGTACTCCTTTGAAACGGAGCATTAATAACATATTTATTAAAAGACAAAGCAATAATTTTTTAAGTTCAGCAACTGTAATCAAACCGTGTGCTCCTGAGTTTACTCTGGTTTACTTTTGTTTCAGATTTCACCTTTTGTCTTATTTGTTTTGGTGGAAGTGAAATGGTGTGGTCCCACCTTATGTGAAAGAGAATGGAGGTATGAGGAAGGTGATGCAAATTGTGCATCAGTTTAAACTGCCAACAAGTACAAATGAGACAAAAAAAGTAAAAATTTTGTATAAATAGGAATAGAAATCATAGTTACAAATAAATAAATTCAAAACTGAATATACCTAAAGAATCAATTTTCAATTTTAAGGAATATGCATTTATTAATGCCTTTATTTGAAATCCATTTATTCCCTTTTCTCTACAAAGAATACGGTTTTGATTAAGGAGGCAATTATTCTTCTCTGAAAAAATGTAGTTGTAAATAATATAAATCCTTCATAAATTATTATAAAACAGAGAGCATTGTCGGAAATTAAGCACTTTACTCCAATTTGCAAAATAAAGATAGATCCTCAGCAAAAAGATTAAAAAAAAAATGCAGACATGGTGATAATTGCTGAAGTTGCTAAACCAAATGACTTTTGCTTTGTATTTTGGAGGATAAAATAATTAAATAACAAAATATTGGAAGGAATGGTGATTATTAACCCAACTTCAACTTCAATCATCTCCATCGAGGAGCTCATAAACCTTCTTAAAAACTTGTTCACTACTGCTGTATCAGAAAGCACTTTCCTAAAAAGAGAAAGCAATATATAAGTCATTCAGTTCAACCTTACAAATAAGCCCTAATACTTTATAATGAGGGGTGGGGGGGACAGTCTTAGTTAAGATGGTGCCCAATTCTCATAAGAAAATAAAAATGAAATCAAAAGTTTAATTAAATAGTTAGGCAGTTGGAATCTCCTCATGTTGGTGTTTCACCATTTTACTTTAGCTTTAGATAAGTTTTCAAGAAACACATGATAGGGTTAATTTAATATGGAAATAGCTTATAAGTCCACCTACTACTTTGCATTTGAATTTGGAGCAAGGTTTCATTGAGTATCTTCATACCCAACGTCTCAACCCCAACTCCTATACATAAAAAATAGTTTTCTAATATAAATATAATATTAGGGATTTTTACGGTTTAGTCCACCTTAGAAGTGGTCAATTTTTTTTCAAAGTATTTATGCCTATCTCCCCCTATAAACACCATCCCTCCTATCAATTTGGCATCTTTCCCGAGGATCAAAATATAGATAATTGGTGGATACCAATACCTTGGGTTTCCGTGTATCCATACAGAGTAGTACTCTTGTCTTTTTTGATGTCTTCTATCATACCAAACTTTTAAAAACCCCAAACCCTTATGAGTAAGTCCATCAATAAATCTCCATGACTTTGGATACTGGCATATCAAACAAATAATTAACATCCCACTTCTCCTTCCACACAGGGAAAGGGGTACACATATTTTAATTTGAAATAAAAATATGTTCAAAATTATGGAGTTCCCACACTAAAATCATATGCTTTTCCTAATTCAAGTTATCTATTTAATTACAAATTAAACTTCATTTAGGAGATGTTAGCAAATAAAATATCATTAATCAGGATATATAAAAATTGGTATCATGAGTTTCCAGCAATGGATACTATAGGTTTTTTCTTTTTTTTTTTTCAGTTGATTACTAACATTTAAAACTATCAAAACCCCCTAATCTCATTATTTATTGTATCCAAGACCCTTTATACTAACCACATCAACAAAATCAGTGTGTCAAGTAATATGGCTGAATCTTGGATATAGAGAGAGAAGACTGACAAATTGGTTTTGGGATCTCATAGATCCAATCTGATTATTTCAGAATTTGGATGATCCGTTTACAGAATCGGATCAGATGGGGAGTTGATCTTATCTGATCTGATTAAGATCCGACCCCGACTAATGTATATACGTATTAGTTTTCTATTTTTTTTTTAAAGATGATGACATGGACATAGATTAAATCCGAATCGAATATGTTTCGAATCTGATGAAACCCATGATTATAATTAAATTAGGACTAATTAAAGGTTTTAATAATTGGATCAGATTGGATCCGATCCGAATCCAACCCAATTACAGTATTACAGTCCTATTGGGCTATTCGGTAACGGTAACCAACAATATATCCGCAGTTCGCAGCGAGAAGGACAAATTTGTCATTTAGTAAACCATGGTTAAATTAAACTGTAGCTTTCTGTTTGTTATTTTGCCTCAGAGAGCAAGAAAAGAAAGATTAGGTGGTTGGGAGGAAAACCAGGGGCGTGTGCAAAGCAACCGCAATGGCAAATCGGCGATGAGCGGAAACGTCATTGCTGATTCAGATATCTTCTTATCTTAGAAAAAACGAACGCTAATTATAGATAGATATAAGGGATTCGCCAGCTACCATTTAAGCCAGATGCTTGGGTTCCATCTACTCCGCAGTTCGATCTCTTCGTCCAATCTCTTCAGCAACTTTTCAGCTAAGACCCATTTATTCTCACTTCTCTCGATCTCGAGACTGTCCAATACAAACCCAAGATTGCAAATGGAGTGTTACAGTACGTCTTCTGAAACTTCGAGGATTTTGATCCGGCAGCTTTTCGAGAAGGATTCTTCCACGTACACTTACTTGCTCGCCGATGTCGCTCACCCTGAAAAGCCTGCTCTGGTGAGTGTTCCCGCCTTGACATCCGGGGTTTCTTACTTCAGTTAGTTGCGTTGTAGATGACCCTTTATGTTTATAAGCTACTATTTAGTGGTTCACGAGTAATAGAATTTCTGACTTGTTCTACGTGATTTTTAAGCACATTTTTGTGTGCAAAGTCTGTTTCAGAAGTTGATTTGAAAGCGAGGATGCCTCTTTGGTTATTGTTTATTTTCGTTTTCTGATAGTTTGTGTTCTACGATGTGGAATCTTGCGGCTCACCTTTATTCCTCGCGAGTTTCATTGAATTGCCTTTCTGTTGTTTGCAAGCTTGTCTAAACGTTTGAATTGGGAAGCGCTCTCTCTCTCTCTCTCTTTCTCTCTCTCTCTCTCTCTCTCTCTCTCTGACTCTCTCTCACATTGAGAAAAGAAACTTTGACTATTAAAAATAATATTTGGAAGTCTAGTTGGCAACTTACGTACAGGTCATTGTGATAGCTGCAGAGGATTTTATATATTTTTTATAATAAATTTTGTTTATTTACATATAATAAGTTGGTCAGAAAGAATTCTGACAACCCAGCAAAGGAGATATCACCAATCATAGTAAGACCAAATATACAAGATTAGTAATAGTTGTATCTCTTTTCCTAATTATCCCTTGCGTCCTGTAATTACTTTCAAACACTAGTCACTCGGCTGCTTCTCAATGGTTATTCAATTCTGTACCGCAGAGTTTGTTTTTTTTTTTTTTATGTTTTTCTTATTAGTAGCAGAACTGAACTTCAGATGTTAGCAGATCCATGGGGACCTCTTGGTAAGAGAGATATAGGGAATATTTTATCCACTGAAAGACAAAGCAGTGAGCCATTCAGTTCAGCCACCACTTCAGCCGTTATCAAACAGCCCCACTGCCTTGCAATTATTCGTTGCTTGATTTTGGTGCCTAAAATATACAGTTCTTCGTTTTCCTTGTCTAAACTGAATTGAAAGAGAGGCAAGTTCCATTGTTGTTAAACGGGATAAGGGAACAAGGTCCTGTCTAAAAGAACTTGGCTCTAAGAATTTGAATACTCTAACATCATAACAATCCTATTAACACTGCAACTAACTATACATTATAATGTTTGAATATTTAGTTATAGAAAGTAATCCAGCTGACGGTTCTTTTCTTATTGTCATGTACTCTTCTCCAGAACCATAATTAATAAGTGCAGCATATCAGCCAAAGTGATGTGCAAAATAAATCATTTTCTTGGTTAATACATTAACCCACCATTTCTTATAGCAGCTGTATCATTTTTTAGAAGGTGATAATGTAAAACAGTAATGTCATACTTTCATTCATGTAATGCAAATTTTGTCTTATTGTATTTGTTTTTTAATGGACTGTTGGATTCACTCATGTTGCACTTTAGGATAAGTTGAATATCAGTTATTCTGACAATTTGACCAAAATGTGTAACTCAAACAGCTCTTGGTACAAATTTGGGCTTAGGCCTTATATGAAATCTAAGCTTTTGGTACAAATTTTTAGAATTTCAGCACTTTTTTGGATCAATAAATTTATTAATGATAAAGAAAAATGTGTAACTCAAACAGCACAAAGGTAAGATGAAAGACACAAATACATCAAGTAAACCGATAACAAAAGCAAAAGAAGCAGTCTAATAACTTACCCTCTTCCCCTCTGATCAGATATCCCAGCTCCAAGCCTTTCAAGAGAATTAGATAGTTCATTAGCTAATCTAGGGCCCTCTTGAACAAGATTTCATTGTCTGTGCTAAAACCTTGGGTTGAAAAGCATGAAAGCTCAGGTTCAAATCTGAAAGCAGCGACTTTGTTTTAAAATGCTGGAGGCTAGGTCTGTATCCAGTTCACCCCTCCTAAAACTTGGGTTCAAGTCTGAGAGCGGCCATTTGTGCTAAATTTCCAGATGTTTGGTCTGTATCCATCCCCTCCTAAGACTTTGGATAGCTGGGACCTGCACTGAAATATGTCCGAATGAAAATTCTAGCATTCAGATGCAAGTGTACACAGAGTCTGGCACCACAAAATCTAATACAGCCTCCATATTAGATTAGCCAAATGTTACCAGTTGGTTTACATTCCTGCACATGTATGTATCATCATCATCATCATCTAAGCCTTGTCCCAACTATATGGGTTGGCTACATGAATCCTGTTCCACCATTCCATTCTTTTCAGCTATTCCATTTTTCTCTGATCAACTTATATCTTTCTGCATATATTTTTTTTCTTTTAGAGTAGTTTCAGGAATTCATTTTACTTGTGTTTTCTTAGATTTACTTTGTCCATTGAAGCAAAGTCTATACCTCAAGCTGACTGAGCTCATCTCTGTAGTTGATTGACCCAGTAGACAAAACAGTGGACAGAGACCTTTCTCTTGTTAAAGAGCTAGGGTTGAAGCTGATTTATGCTATAAATACCCATTGCCATGCTGATCATGTCACAGGAACTGGACTGATAAAGGTATGCTAGTTTCTTCATTGTCATAATATCTATTTAGTTTTTCTAGTAATGCTTCTGATGTTTTATCTATATGGCTTCAGTCCATGCATTTCTTTCTTTCCCCTCTCTTTTAACCTCTTTAGCCTTGCAGGGTAGGGTCCCAGGTGTGAAATCTATCATTTCAAAAGAAAGCAGAGCAAAAGCTGATCTTTTTGTTGAACATGGTGACAAAATATACTTTGGTGATCTTTATCTTGAGGTATATTAACAGAATCTTGTAAATTTTGCTTGTCTATGAGATAAGTAGACTTTTTACATTATACTAGCCGTTTGTTAATTTGGATTCTTAATTTCCATTTAGATTCTTTCTGTGTCAATGTGTCATCAATCCTAATGCTATTCAACTAAAATGAAAAGATCCCAATATGATTTACTTATTATTAGCATTAACTGTTAGCACTGGAGAGTAGCTATACTTAATAACATTCAAGATTTGTTTGGTGATTCCATTTAGTATCTTCACTATCATGTTTGATAGGGAGAGAGAAACCAAGTGCCCAAGTTTTGATAAAGGATGATTGATCTTAGGTTTTTGTTTAGTATCTAGTTTATTTTCCAATTACCATGAAGAAAAGAGGGGCCAAAGCATTGATCTTGCTCCTAAAAATTAATGATTTTAATGCATTTGAATTAGTGATCTTGCAATTTGTGAGAGTGGTCACTTTGTCCAAAAAATTGCCAAAGTTTTGGACCATATCCAGTCCACCCCTCCCAAGACCCCAGATAGCTGGGACCAACACTCGGTAATGGCCTTTTATCTTGCAGCTTGTGAAGGACAACAATATTTTTCTATCTATTATTGAGTAGGAGATTAAGGGGCCATTGCTTGGTGTAATGGTAAAATCTCAGACTGACAAGTGTGAAAATGTGGGTTTGAGTTTGAGAGTGGCTCTTTATGCAAAAAATGTTAAAGGTTAGGACTGTATCCAGTCTACCTCTCCCCAAACCCCAGATAACTGGGACCAACATTGAGTAATGACTTTTTTATTAAGAGATGAACATATTTCTACAAATTATGGAAGGGGATAAGAAGTGCAACTAGTTATCAGAGGATATTATCTATGATATTTGAAACTATTCAGGTGAACATTTCATTCTCCTACATGCTTGAGTAAACTCATGATTTGGCATATGATCTAGTGAAATCTGGGGTTCATGGGGACCACAGATTAGTATCTTTTCCATTTTATTTTGAGCTTTTGTATTTCATTTTCATTCTTGTATTCCTTGTGTTATTTGATAGACATATTTGATAGTAATAACAAAAGAATATAAAAGAAAAGCTGCATATGACACATCTTATAGCACATGTTCTTTTCTTTACAATCATTTACAAAATACAATTTCAGTTTTATGGACTACATCACCTTAATGTCAACAATGAACACTTTGCAGGTTCGTGCTACTCCTGGTCATACATTAGGCTGTGTTACCTATGTTACAGGAGATGGATCTGGTCACCCTCAACCAAGGATGGCTTTCACTGGTGATGCCTTACTCATACATGGATGTGGAAGGACAGATTTTCAGGTAAACTTTTGTACAATTTTAAATGTTCAAACACAAAAGATAAAAATATTGAGCACATAAAAGAGTCCTAAATTTCCGTTTAAGAAGAATCTATTTGTGGGCAAAAGATAGCATTGGAGGCATGGACTCGTCATCCTATTGGAAAAGTAGGATCTGCATATATGAAGTGTTCTCAACGGTGTTATGGCTGTATAATGCTTTGTAAAAGAAAAATCTCATGGCTGTATATGTTGAGTCATTTGGAGTTGTGCTTATGACTGCTAATGTTGGTTTTAGTTTTTTCATTCTGGAAAAGTTACTTGTAGAAGGATTAGATAATTTGATTTATTAATTTTTTTCTTTAATTGTTTATTCATTTATTACATTTTTACTGTTATATTCTTCCTTTCAGCAGAAGCATGCTTGAATTTTAACACAACTTTGTTATCTCTTTAACTTTTAAATAATAGAGTCATGTGAAGACATGCTTTACCAAAGTTCCACCTTTTCCTTTAAAAACTAATTTGTAAACTAAAATGGAAGTAATCTATCTCAATCTTTTACATGCAGGGTGGAAGTTCAAGTCAGCTCTACCACTCTATTCATTCACAGGCAAGGACATGAGATATAGATCATTTAGTTTTCTTGAAAAGGAGAAAGAGAAAGGGAAGCAAGTTTACATAAAAATTTGATTTTTTTTCATAAAAAACGTTATTGTATTAACAAATATTTTTCTCTTCTGTGATCCAGATATTCACTTTGCCCAATGACACATTGGTCTATCCATGTCATGATTACAAAGGATTCACTGTAGGAAAACACCTAATGCCTCTTGTTCCTTTAAATGTGAATAGTATTCTCATATAGAAGCTGCTTGTATCACTCCTATTTTGGGTTTCAGGTTAGTACCGTGAGAGAGGAAAAGCAATACAATCCTCGTTTAACAAAGGATGAGGTAACTCTCTGGCTCTAAAGTGTCTTTATATATAATACAGGATAAACTTCATTCAGGAAACCTGAGCAACCATATCCATGTATCATTAGATTGAAAACTGATTTGCCTCACTTTTATCAGATACCAGGCTAGATCTTATACATGTTTAGAGAATGAAAAATAGAAACTTGAATATGTCCATTTCGTTTAGGGGGTTAACCCTCAATTGAATATTTGCATGCATGTAACCAAGAGGAAATTTACAAGGATTTTTTTTTTTTTCTGATATGTTGTTTGGACGAGATTTTTTATAGTTGCTTATTGTGAAAGTAACTATAAATATGTAAAAAATTGTTTAGTCACATTATAAGGTAAACATTGGCCTATGATGCAAAAAACAAAAAAGGAAAAGAAAAAGAAAAAGAAAAAATAAGAAAGAAAGAAATGAACACTTTATGCATTTAGTAGAAAGATATTTCTTGCTATTTTTCTTCTGCAAGTTCTTGTTTTTCTTTTCTTCTCATATTCTTTACTTTAATTCATTATCCAAATTCTTAACAATTTCCATGTTTCGTTTCTTTTTCTTTCAGGAAACATTCAAGAAAATCATGGAAAGTAAGTTTACAATTACCTTTCAAGTCTGTGACTGAGATGCACCATGTTATTGTAGATTGCAATATGATAATCTGCTATTCAACTGCTAACTTTTGAGGGTAAATTGCTTGTCATACAGATCTGAACCTACCATATCCAAAGTTGATTGATAAGGCAGTCCCTGCAAACCTGGTTTGTGGGTTGCAAGAGCCAATTGGAAATGCAGCCTAGATGTTGTTGAGTTATATAGCAGGTTAAGCTCTCATTACTGTATTGTAAGAGGTAGATGAGGGTTGTTTGTGAAAATGATGAATAAGTAACTTGTTATGTTAAGAACATTGATGTGGTCCACATGTAACTATGCTCTCTGATATGGTTTCCTGTGATTATTATTCTTCTTTCCTTGGATGGTTATATGTAAACAACTCGTTTACATGAATACATTATGCATGAACATCCATCAGTATAGTAGTAGCTCATGCTCCAAATTGCTCTTTCCATTCACATGAAAGCCTAGTATTTATTTTATATGAGTTCAATGGTATGGAAGCCTGCATGGTAAGGCAATGACAATCACCTAAGTATCACATTAGCAGCAATATACTCTTGTTGCACATTTAAGAAGTAAATCTTATCCATTGGATTTACATCAAAATAAATTAAACTAAAAATAATCAAAATATCATAATATTATTAGAAAATACCATACATTGTATATCATGAATAAAAGGAAATGATAACTTCTATGAGACTTGAATGGTTGAAATTGAACCTATGGCTCTTTAGTAAACATTAGGGTGCTCACGGTTCGATTAACCAAATCGGGGTTACTGGTTTTTGGAAAACTAGTAATCGAAATCGAACCAAAGCCGATCGGTCTAGTTAACCATCGGTTTGGTTGGTCGGTTCGTCAGTTTTTTTATTATTTGCAATATATTATAAAAATATATAATAAAACACTAGAAATATATATAAAATATTATATTTTAAATAATAAATAATATATTATATGTTATAAATATATATTTATATATAATGCATATTTATTAATTCATAATGTATAGAAAATATAAATTATCTATATCACTTTAAAAAGTACCAATAGCCTCGAGAATATTTATGGATTTTTTTAGACAAAATTTACCCCTCTATATTTAGATTTATTGATAAAAAGTGAGGGCAAATAGGGTAATCTAATATTGCTATTAAATAAGTTAAAAAGAGGTAATTTTAAGATATTCAGTGCATTCAATTCTCTCTCATTAAATCCAACATTTAAGGTATTAATTTGCATTCACCTTCATTGAATCATATATTTAAGGCATTTTTGTTTCTTCTCATCATTAAATTCTATAATAAGTCCATACATAATAAATTAATAATTCCAATAACATAAAACTTAAACTTTTAAAATCTACCTAGAAAAAAATAGTATTTTCGTCTAGGTGGTAGTAAAAAGTTAAACCATTTTGGGTCAAATGGGCCAATCCATGTCACCACAATTAAATAGTAAAATTCAAAAATATATAAAATACAAAAAATATAGAAATTAAAAAAATTGGGAACATCTTTAACATCGTATATTTGACATAGTAAACAATAATAAGTATGATAAACAATATCTTAAAAACCAACCTGAAGGCCGACTTGTTTTTGCCTTTGGGTCATAGGTCACCGATTCAACCATCAAGGTCAAATGGATCAAACCACTTTTATTTATAAAAATATAAAAAAATTGCAATTTAGGGCCAAAAAAGGGATTTTTTGTGTGAAAATAGAAAAGCAAGACGCCTAAGGCCCTTGAGGCGTATAGATCTTGAAAAGTTACCTAAAAAAAAAGATCACCCCAATTGGACGTCAGAGTGCAAAGTTATGGCCTCCAAAAGTTTGCACATAATGAATTATGCAACCTACAACCTTGTGACCGGGTCGAAGGGGTCAATGGTTTAACTGCCTGGGTTAGACAGTTTTTTACCAAGTCAATGGTTTCTAATTGAAAGGGTGAGCCTCAACAGAATTGGACCCGAAATCTAGGCCGAGTGACGGTTTGAACGATTCAATCAACTAGGTCAACAGTAGGTTGAAAATATTGATGATAAATAAGAAATATATTTATTAATGATGGAATAGAATGTAAAATTTCAAATCAATTGGAAATAAAACTATTTTCCTATTTTCTCTTATTAAATCTCATATCTAAGGTATATTCTCCTATTAAATCTTATATTTAAGATATATTTTTCTCATCATTAAATCCTACTAATTGAACCCATAATATTAATTTTAATAATATAAGAATAAATATTTTTAAATATAATTTGAAAGCAAAACCATTTTCTTCCCTCCTAGTAGTGGTGGGTAAGCAGTTTACCATTTGGAGTTAAATAGGTTAATAAATAATGTCATAATTAAATAATAAAAATTAAAATAAGTAAAATATATAATAAAAATAATTGGACACATTTCTAATATTATATGTTCATTATATTGAACAAAAATAAGAAGTATTTTTATTGATGATGAAAATGGAATGCCAATTTTAAAATCAACTTAGAAATGAAATGATGTCATACTCAAATAATAAAATTAAAAAAAAATACGAAGAATCACAAAAATTGAAAAAAGTAGAGAAAATTTTGGGCACATATCTAATGTTATATATTTATAAAAAAATAAAATATTGGGTACAACTATAATATTATACATTCATTATATTGAACAAAAATAAATATTATACATAAGAAATAACTTTATCAATGATGAAAATGTAATACAAAATTTAATGTCAACATAGAAATCATAATTTTTTTTGAGTGGTGGGATAGTGGTGTGGGTCCAATTGATTAATCAATAATATGATAGTTAAATAATAAATCTTTAAAAAGTAATAAAAAAGTACATGTAATCAAAATAATATATAAAAATTGGGATCGACTATGATATTGGAAAGATATGATAAAAACATGGTAGTCAATCAGATGTTATTTATCAAAATTCATGGGTGGGTTTTGATTGGTCAAAACTCTTCTGATAGCATGTCTTTCCCGCATCATAGATTTTTATATATTAATTATGCCAAACAAAAGTTAAGTGTGATAAGTAAAAATTATTTATATAATGTAGATGGAGTATATACTTTAAAACTATTCTTAAAGCAAAACTATTTTCTTATTTAAATTGTGGGTCAATGATCCAACTTATGAAAGAAATTCATGATGTCATAATTAAAAAATAAATATTTAAAAAAGATAGAACACAAAAAATGAAAAATATAGAATTTTGTCAAAAGCATTTAGGAACATTTATAATGTTATATATTCATCATATTAAATAAAAATAATTGTTAAAATAAAAAATATTTTTATTTATGATAGAAATAGAATACAAAATTAATAATAATAATAATAATAATAATAATAGATGTTATTGTAATTTAAAATTTTCATTGCAATGCATGTGCACATTTACTACAAGTATTTAAGTTTATTTTTCATCATATTATTAATTTTGTTAATTTTTAATTTCTATCTTAATTATGATATATCTAAAATTCAAATAATTAATATGAAAAAAAAAATTCTTACATGCAATGCACATGCTTAACTATATCAGTCGGTTCGGTTAAACGTTTGTTTTTTATTTTGGTTAATCGAAACCAAACTGATACCTTCAGTTTTTTTAAATTCCAAACCAAAATTAAACCGACTAATTCGGTTAAAACCAAATTTTCGGTTTGGTTTTTTTATTTTTCTTACTCACCCCTAATAAATATTATAGGAACAGATTATATTGGATCAGATAGGGTGGATCCATATTTATATTTGATCCAATTATAAATAAATGAATCTCTCTCCCTCTTTATCCAATCCTGTTCTCTGCAATTAAAAACTCTGCACATGAGAGCATGAGAATAATCCCACCGTACATTGAGAACATCTCCACATAAACTTAACATACATGTATGGGTCCCGATGTGCGGCTGGATGCAAGCAGAACTTTTGCTTGCTGGAGATCCAGGCTCTCCTGTCACAGCTACTCCTGTATTCTCTTTTAGAGTGTACCAATGGAATTCCAAAAGACATCCAAAATAGTAGAAAAGAAAAATGGGAATTTCATTAATTCAATCATTTGCAATTTATGAATTCATATAAACCAGCCTTTAAAAAAGAAGACTGCAGAGACCCATACAAAGAGAAAAATACCTCTTTAGCTAACAAAACATATTATATATTATATACCCACCCAGTAAGACCATTTTCTCCATTAATTGTTAAGGCTGCAACCTACAAATGAATTGGATTATGATCCTCTCAGATTTGAACCCAATCTGATTAATCCGGATCTCAATCATCATCATCCAAATCTTATTCCAACAATCATATGGGATCAGCAACATGAATCCGAAAATCCATTTGGAATTAACGAACCGTATCGGTCAAAAAAACTGATCCATGTATTAATCGAATCAAATACGGATATAACATGATTCGATCTGCTAACTCTGTCATTGATGAAGGGCCCAACTCTGAAGATAACCGAGTATAATCAGAAATTTGTTCAAATTACCCTTAAAAGATTTGAACAAACCTTCTAAGCGCCCATAATTTGAACAAATCTAATCTAGAAATTTGTTCACACCATGCCTATAATCAAATTGGTTCCTTGTGAAGTGTAAATATCCTTTGAAGACAGGTTGCCATGCATAGGATTATTATTTTTCAATGACCATTATAATCATACATGGTATTAATGCATGATGTTCAAAGACACCGTCCAGTCTTTTAACCTAGAGTAGTAGGTAGGAGTGTCAATGGACTGGTTTTGTCTTGGATTTGGACTCCATCTAAATCAAAATCACTTCGGATGGATTGGACGAACTAATAAGAGAAATTGAATTGGACCAGTCCAGACTTAATGGTCCAAAGTATTTATTGGATTGGATTAGACCTAATCCATCTATAATGGATTTATATTGTATTGGACCGAATTAATCCAATATCTAATCTATTGATAGAAGATAAGAATACAGTTGTCAATGGGCTAGGTTTGGATTGAAACCAAATTGGAAGGTCCAGACATTGAATTGGACTGGTCCAAAATGGTTGAGAGTATTCATCGGATTGGGTTTGACATGTCCATTTGTAATGAATTTATATTGGACCAGACCGGATTGGACCAAATTCTTTCAAAGCTTTTTTTTTTTTTTTAAACTTCGAACTTGAAAGTTTAAAATTTAAACCAATAGAATGGCACCTAAGCAACCCAAAAGTATTCAACAAATGAAATCAAAGAGTGAAAAGATGTTGCAAATTGAATGCAATGTATTTTTATAATGAAAGACATTTTTCCTTCAGAAAAAAATAAGAAATAAAAAAGAGGAAGACCCTTTGACAAATAGAAGGTGGATGCATTCTAATATTGTCAAGCCTTCCTATCAAAATTTCAAACCAAAGAAAGATTAGTTAAGAAAAACA